TGTACAATTACTATGTGATCCAGCAATTCTACTCCTAGGTATATGCCCAAAAGAATTGAAAAGAGGGACTGAAAGAGAAACCCATATGCCAGTGTTCATAGCAGCATTATTCACAATAACCAATTATGAAACAACCCAAATGTCTACCGACAAATGAATAGATAAACAAAATGTGGAATAGACATAAAATGGAATATTATTCAGCCATAAAAAGGAGTGAAGTTTGGATACATGCTATGACATGAATGAACCTTAAAACATTATTATGCTTAGTGAAATAACCAGAACCAAAGAACAAGTATTATTTCACTCATAGGAAATATCTAGAATAGACAAATTCATGGGTACAGAAAGTAAATTAGGGGTTACCAGGAGCTGGGGGCAGGGGAAAATAGTGTTGATGCTTAATGGTTATGGAGTTTCTGTTTGAGGTGATTAAAAGTTTTGGAAATAGACCGGGTGTGGTGGCTCATGCCTGTAATCCCAGCACTTTGGGAGGCTGAGTGGATCATCTGAGGTCAGGAGTTTGAGACCAGCCTTGCCAACATGGCAAAACCCTGTCTCTACTAAAAATACAAAAATTAGCTGGGTGTGGTGGCGGACACCTGTAATCCCAGCTACTCAGGAGGTTGAGGCAGGAGAATCACTTGAATACAGGAGGCGGAGGTTACAGTGAGCCAAGATCACACCATTGCACTCCAGCCTGGGCAACAAGAATGAAACTCCACCTCAAAAAAAAAAAAGTTTGGGAAATAGTGGTGATGGTTGACAATGTTGCATAAGTAATCGGTGCCACATTGTCCATTTAAAGATAATTTAAAAGGAAAACTTTATTTTATATATATAGCCCTAATTTTTTTTTTTTTTTTTTTTTTTTTTTTGAGACGGAGTCTTGCTCTGTCACCCAGGCTGGAGGGCAGTGGTGCAATCTCGGCTCACTGCAAGCTCTGCCTCCCAGGTTCACGCCATTCTCCTGCCTCAACCTCCTGAGTAGCTGGGACTACAGGCATCCGCCACCACGCCCAGCTAATTTTTTGTATTTTTAGTAGAGATGGGGTTTCACCGTGTTAGCCAGGATGGTCTCGGTCTCCTGACCTCGTGATCCACCCGCCTCGGCCTCCCAAAGTGCTGGAATTACAGGCGTGAGACACTGCGCCCAGCCTATAGCCCCAATTTTTTAATGGGCTAAGGATTTAAATAGTTCACCAAAGTAGATATAAAAATGGCCAATAAGCACATGAAAGGATTCTCAACATCATTAGTCATCAGAGAAACACAAAACTACAATGAGAGACCACTTGGTGATACCCACGAGGATGACTAGAATAAAAAAGACACGTGGTAATAAGTGTCGGCGAGCATGTGGAAAGGAACCCTCATACACAGCTGGTGGGAGCGGAAATTGGCTTAGCCACTTTGGAAAACAGCAGACAGTTTCTCAAAAGGTCAAACATACAGTTACCATATGACCCAGGAATTCTACTTTCTCTTAAGTATACGCCCAAGAGAAATGAAAACCTATGTCCATATAAAAACCTATACATGAATGTCCATGGCAGCATTTCTCATAATAGCCACAAAGTGGAAACAAGCCAGGTGTCCATTAACTAATAATGGACAAAATGTGACCTATCCGTACAAGAGAATATACTTTGGCAGTAAAAAAGAATAAGGATGGATAGGTACTACAACATGAATGAATCTTGAAACATACTAAGTGAAAGAAGGCAGTCAGAGAAGACTACTTATTGCGTGGTTCCATTTATACATTCGAGAATAAGCAAATCTATAGAGGCAGAAAGTAGAATAGTGGTTGCCTAGGTCTGGGAGGGTTGGGGAAATGGGAGTAACTTGCTAAGAAGTATGCGGTTTCTTTTCGGGGTGATACGTACCTTTTTTGTTGTTGTTTTTCAGGCAGTCTTGCTTTGTCACCTAGCCTAGAATGCAGTGGTGCAATCATAGTTTACTGCAGCCTCAAACTCCTGGGCTCAAGTGATCCTCCCACTGCAGCCTCCCAAGCAGCTGAGACTACAGGTGTGTGCCACCACACCTGGCTTATGTTCTAAAATTGACTGTGGTAATGGCTGTCCAACTCTATGAATACGGTAACAGCCACTGAATTGTACACATAGGTAAATTGTATGTCATGTGAACTTTATCTCATTAAAGCTGTTATCAAAATCACAAACCTAAAAATAATTTTCACCAAAATTATTTCTCACAAATAACAACTACAGTGACATTTCAGTCATTAACTAGAATCGTTTTTAACTTTTTATTGTGGAAATATTCAAACATATACAAATGTAAAGAGAGTAGTGTAAAGAACTCCCATATACACATCAATCAGCTCCAAAACTTGTCAATGTTTTAGGGTAACTTTTCCCCTCACATTTTAGTACAAAAATTTCAAGCATTAGAAAAGTTGGAAGATTGTACAGTAGAAACCCATATACGCACCTCCTACATTCTCCCATTAATGTTTACTCTGGGTGACTTAATCTGTATCTGACCATCCATTCATCCCTCTCTCCATCCATCGATTTGCTTCGTATTAATATATCCATTTCAAAGTAAATTGCAGACAGCAGTACACTTCCCCTTAAGCACTCTTGCATGCATATGAGTGACTGGAGTTCAATATTTGTGCTTTTGAGGTGAAATTTATATACAATGAAATGCACAAATTTAAAGTATATGTTCTATGAATTCTGACAAATGTATAGGTTTGTATGACTCAAAGCCATTATTCTAACATCTTTAAAAATATTTTTAATTGGTTGGAGATCTTCAAAACAAATTCTTTTCATAGATTTATTGATTTTAGTGTTGGAGTTTTTTGGTAAGGTTCTCTCCTTTTCAATTATATCTCTGAAGGGCAGAATTACCAATTATGTATTATAAGCTACCCATCTATACACATCCTCAGCCTTCTTAGTCTTTTGAATGAAAGCCAATTTAGCATTTCACTATAAACCTGTGTTTTAATGTATGTTTCATGATTAACATATCAAAAACTTTGCTCTGCCAAAATCTACATTTTCAGAGTAAACAGGGTGCCTGGCATGTAACGCTTTGTAAGATGAATCAGCACATACAGTTTTAAGCCAGTTAACATACAGTATACTCAATATAGTTGTAGGTTTTCTTTTTTTCAAAAACAGACGAACCAAGTTTTCTTTTTCATGTGGAAAAAATAATGGGATAGAAAACTCAACACTCACCTTGCTTGATGAAACACACGACCAGGTTATAATCATCAGTGAGAATTCATTTGCCTTTTTTTCAATGCACTCACTACAACAGTCTCTGCGATCATTATTACAGTGAAATTTTATAGATTTAAGAGAAAAATTCAATATAATTGACTAGTGATGATCTTCTATGTCATAAGCAATGCTGTTTTTAAATACAAATTGATGAAAAGTTATATGAAAGAGGCGATCCTTAAATAGAATAAATTCATTCCGTTTTTTATTTTAAACCAAACTTGATCTTGACATTTTCAGTAAGATTTTCATAGAGATGCTCCTGGGGCCTTCTGCTCAAAATTTGGACAACTTCATGCCCGTGACATGACATCATTTTACACATTAGATAAAATGAAAATCGGATGAGATGGACAAATTCAGAAGGGATAGAATTTACTGACGTGTTTGAATACGTGGCATGGCAATTGCCTTTCGCAGGATGAAAATATTCATTGTACTTTTCTTTAATCACAAATGTTGTGGATCTCCCTGGAGTCTAGAAAGTCTTTCCTATTTCTTAATTACCAAATCTTGGGTTGCACGTAGCTTTCTCGTTGTTCCTGTTGCCCCCAGGGCTGTCTCTGCCATTTCCTCTGAAAACAACTATACATTAACATTCAAGGTTTGAGTCGGGGGCTGGGAGGCGAAGGGAAAGGTGATAATTCAGATGTTATGAAACTGTGATAATGCTATTATTTAAGGCACTTATTTGGGTATGTTTATACTTTGTAGTTTTATAAATAAGCCCAAGGGGCTCCTCTTGGTTGTCACAGTCCCCCTTGAATCTCGTATCCTGTCTGTCTCATCCTATCCGACAGTAGAATTGATGCCGCTCTAATCCCTGGAAGTTTGGAACTAATGAACTGACTGCTGAGCTGCCGCCACGGAGCTTGGTCCCAAACTATACTGTACTTCACACTCGATTTATTCTCCAGATGGCGAGACTGTGCCGCCCTGCCGCGAGGGACCACCTCTTCCACTGGAGTGTAAAAGTGGACGGATGTTGTTTTCTTTGCAGATTTGATCATTCTGAGCTAGAAACTTGCGAGGATGATTAGTTATTAGCTTTAATGGGTGCCAATTGAACCAACTGCACGCATATTTTCTCCTTTAATTTCAGAGTCTGCAGGTTTTGGTGATGGTTGATTTCTCCGCTTTCTTACGTCACCAGAGCGTGTCTCTTCCCCAGGTGATAGGAATCCAGTCTCTGAAATCATAGCACGCCTTGGTTCCTGGCCCAGACAGAGTCACATAATACGGTGGCTTATGGATAAGGACAAGTTTATTAGCCACTGGTCCACTGCACTGAGGAGCATGGCACGAAATATCGATTGAATGCGGCAACTTTGGGAACACCATTTTTTAGAATGGGGGCCTGCAAAGATTGTCATCTGTGCCAACTTCCTCTATGACCTGGGCAGAGTCCACCTCTAGAATCAGACATGATCCGGAACACACTATGGTACTTAGTCTCTTCAAAGGTCCAATGTAACTGTTGATAAAGGCCTTAATTCCATTATTCAGTCATCTCCAGCTTGTCAGATCTTGGGGGACAAGTTCATTCCACAGTGAGAGTGGCTCACCAAGGTTGCCCTGTAGCATTAACATATTTAGAACGCAGTCCCTCTGAAACCTCATTTTAAGCAACCTGTATTGCTCCCAGAATATAAAAGCCCCCATAAAAGCTCTTTTTGGGGTGGCCTCTTTTACCTTAATTTCCTTTTTCTCCTTTCTCCCGGAAGCACTTACCTCCCAATAATCGTAGGCGATCACCCTGAGAGCCCTTCTGAGAGCCGGCTCAGCCAGACGGCCTGTTGCTAATCCACCTAAGATGGATATTGGAGGGATGGTCAGAGCCAACCAGGAGCCAAAGAAAGAGAGAAAAAAAGAAGGAAAGTGTGAAGCGTGAAGGACGAGGTGGTGGAGATGAGAGAGAGCTGAGCGCCTTGTTAGCAAGAAGTACAGTGTGTGTTGCAGAGAGAGGGAACAAGTGAGAGAATAAAATGAACAGAATTTGTTTCTTTTCACAACTGGGTGGACTGTGACTCTCTCGAACTGAACGCCCAGAACTAAACTTAATTGTTCTTAGAAACTGCCTTCCTCCCAACCCAACAGATGGCATGGGCGTGTTTGCTAGCACAGTCACATATTTCACCCTGAAAATACCAAAAAGAAAAAAAAAATTCAACATGCTCGTTGGTTGGGATAAATTCACTGAAGTTGTTGAGTGTTTTGGGATATATACCAGAGGGATGCACACTTGGTTTATGTAAATTGTAACAAGCAACAGCCTGTTAATAAGGGTGTTGTATGGCAATATACCTCAAAAGCCATCCTCTCTTTTTGGAAAGGTACAGAATGATGAAGTGGAAAGAGCTTGGTTTTCATTCTGAGCCAAAATTTTTTAAATGCTGAGTATTCACTGCTCATTATTATAATATGAAAAGTACTAATCAGATTATGCCTAAAATTGGAATTAGGTACTTCATTTGCAGCCAATTTCACAAGGGCCGAATTTTGCTAAGTAAACTGGAATGTGCTGAAACCATGGCAATCTGACTTTAGATAAAAATCGCAAACAGGTTTAGAACATGAGCTTTGAACAAACAGTCCCTTCAAATCCAAGTGAAGCCAAACAGCTTCGAGATCAGATTTTGTTTGACACCAACCAACATTAACAATTTAGGAAGTTGATGTTGCCAGGTATCCCGCATCCTTGAGCACACATGCAAATTAGATGATGGAGAAGATGACTCAAATAACTTAAGCTTTAAAATGCAGTGTGGCCTAAAAAATCGAGTGAGTTCCCTTCAGTTTTCCATTCATACTGTCCCAGTAGACTCTTTGCAAGGCTGACTTAGCTATTTAAAAGGGAACCTGAAAGTTATGTTGCCAAACTCCAGCAATTTCGTTTTTTTGTAGCTGCATAGGCTGCACAGAGCAGAACATGCTTTAGATTGTCCACAGCCATGGATCTAAATGTGCCTTCGAAAAAGCTGGAAGAGTTTTTTAGTTTGCTTGTTTTCATTTTTGAGATGAAGTCTTGCTCTGTGTCCTATGCTGGAGAGCAGAAGTGCAGTCTCGGCTCACGGCAACCTCTACCTCTTGAGTTCAAGCGATTCTCCTGCCTCAGCCTCCCGAGTAGCTGGAACTACAGTCACGTGCCACCACGCCCGGCTAATTTTTGTATTTTTAGTAGAGATGGGGTTTCACCATGTTGGCCAAGCCGGTCTCGAACTCTTGACCTCAGGTGATCCGTCCCCTCAGCCTCCCAAAGTGCTGGGATTACAGGTGTGAGCCACCGTGCCGGGCCAGAACTCAAGTATTTCTCCCAGCAGCTCTAGACGGCTTTAGAGCCAAGATACTGAGCTAACTTCTGTCCTTCACCTTCAAGATTTTCGTATTTAGGGCCAGGCGCCATGGCCCACACCTGTAATCCTAGCACTTTGGGAGGCCGAGTCGGGTGGATCACCTGATATCAGGAATTCGAGGTCAGCCTGGCCAACACAGTGAAACCCCGTCTCTACTAAAAATACAAAACTTAGCTGAGTGTGGTGGTGGTGCCTGTAGTCTCAGCTACTCGGGAGGCTGAGGCAGGAGAATCACTTGAACTCCGGAGGCAGAGATTGCAGTGAGCCGAGATCACGCCACTGCACTCCAGCCTGGGTGACAGAGTGAGACTCTATCTCAAAAAAAAAAAAAAAGAGTGCATGGTAGAGCAAGTGGGCGAGTTTTATATCTATGGAATAAAACAAAGGTATGATGTGGAACCAAGCCATTGTTGGCTACATCATCTCTGACTTTAGCTAGTCTGAGCTCTCTGTTGCTTTTGTCTAAGCTTGGCCTAATTATTGGCAGCTGAAGCTCGGTAAATCAGGACTTCACAGAGCGGTCCTAAACTGTCTTAGGTACTCTTTCCATCTGACCTGACAACTCTAAGCTACCGTTTCCTCACATTGTTTAACTCAGACCACATTTGGAAGCCTTCCTTGCGCCTCCCCACTCATACACCCACATCTGTCTGGTTTAAATCTACTGTCCTGGGTTGTCTTGTTGCTTGGACTTAAGACTCAATATTGGCTTAAATGATTCTTTTTTGTCTCTACTTTGGTTTGCTATTTTTCTAGATCAGTATTGCTTTTCAAATGGCTATGTATTGTGGAGACTTTTTTTTAAACTACATTCATCAGCAGTGAGAAGCTTTAAAGTTTTATTAGTATCATAAAAACCCTTCCCAAATGAAACTACTTTTGATAAGTGTTCATTCTGACAATGAGAATTTGTTGAGGGCTGTTGGCAAGTTGGAGGAGTTTGCTTTTGAAACTGAAATTGGCAGGAAGTAATGACCTCAAGTGCTTTCTTTCTCTTGACTCCAGCCCTCACCCTTTCCATGCACTTCTTTCTCTCCCCAACCCCACCGTCATCACCCCCAAGCTGAAACCAATAAATAACATACTTGGTTTCATATAGTTTTTCTGGGGACAGTTCAAATACTGAAGCAGACTTTCAGCCTTTCAGCTTTTCTGAACTGTGGAGCAGAGCCTGTCAAGTCAAAGAAAAAAATGTATTTGTCAAGCTCTTCATGAAGGGATTCCTTGCCTTCCACCTGAAGAAGTGGGAGCTTTTTTTGTAGTACGCATTGTCAGATTCCTGTGAGCATCTTCTTAATTGAATGTCAAGATTCAACTCAGTTGCAATAAAATAGTGAGTAAAAAAAAAAGCATGCTGCATGTGGAAAAAGAAAAATCCTTATTTTTTCCCTAATGTGAAGAAGCTGACAGACGAGACGGCCACAATCTAGATGTTAGCCAATTTCTTATGTTTATTAAATGAGAAAGTGCAGGTAAAGAACATAGAACCATGCTTAGCACTTAGTTAATGCTCAATCAGTGAAAAATTACCCATTAACCATCTTCCCCTTCCAATTGGGAAGTAATACTAATGAGAAAGACGACACTCCCACTGTGGCATTGCAGTGCGTCTCGGCTGTGTTACAGCTGTGGCGAATGAAGCCTAGAAATCAACTGCTCACCTTTCAGACTGGATGACTTCTTTCAAATATTACTTGTTTGGTGGACAGGAAATGTGTAGATAGAGTAATGGTGCTCAGACTCTGAATCCACGTAACAGTTTCATAAACCATTTGATGGTGCTCCCCTCAGTGATAAAAATAACAATAAACTTTTTATTGACACTTATAGAATGAAGCTCGACTGAGAATTGTAAAAACTCTTGAAGACTTTGATCTGGGCCCTAATGAAAAATGTGTGAGAGTCAACTCAGTTTCCAGCGGTCTGGCAGAAGAAGATCTAGAGACCCTTTTGCAATCCCGGGTCCTTCCTTCCAGCCTGATGCTACCAAAGGTGGAAAGTCCTGAAGAAATCCAGTGGGTGAGTAGCTAATGCTTTGCTTTAAGATTCAGGAGAGGCCGGGCGCTGTGGCTCACGCCTGGAATCCCAGCACTTTGGGAGGCCGAGGCAGGCGGATCACGAGGTCAGGATATCGAGACCATCCTGGCTAACATGGTGAAACCCCGTCTCTACTAAAAACACAAAAAATTAGCTGGGCGTGGTGGCGGGCGCCTGTAGTCCCAGCTACTCGGGAGGCTGAGGCAGGAGAATGGCGTAAACCCGGGAGGCGGAGCTTGCAGTGAGCCGAGATCGCGCCACTGCACTCCAGCCTGGGCCACAGAGAGAGACTCCGTCTCAAAAAGACTCAAGAGCAGCTAAGGAGGAGTGGCAAGAAGAAGGGATCTGGGTGCCACAGGTTTGGAAAATGCACACACAGAGCAGAGAGGAAGGGATTTGAGAAAAAGCAGTAAGCGCAAGAATCCGTTTCTTTCACCCAAGGAAAACTCGCCTTTGCCCAAATGCACTTTTGAAATGATGCTTCGCTTCCTAATTGGATGTGTGGTTTGGCCAGAACAAGCTCCTCAGTAGCCCTCCTAGAGTAATCCCTGGAAACTAGGTTGCCCGAGAATGTCATCCCTTTCTCCACCCTGCCCGGCCTTAAGCCAAGGCCTCCACCTGGAAGAGCAGTGACGTAAGTGGCCCTTACTGAGATTCATCTGAAATCATCCCAGGCAGGGAGGGCACATTTGCTGCATATGAAAAAATGAACCCAAAGAAGGGGAGGAAAAGGTCACTCTTTAGGGCAACTGGAGGAATGAACAGGAAGCTTTTAACTAGTGGTTTTAATTAGCACTGATATTATTTCCTGAGCAGTTCTCTAGTGCATCCTTTTTAAATTGCTGACAGGTGTGTTTGTGTTTCATGACAGACTTTTCAGCCAATAAAAACCTGAAATGTAAAGTGGTTGGCATGTCAAATTACTTAAGAAAACTTTTGAAATGGGCCTAATTACACGATGATTGTTTTAATTGACAAAGGGTGGAGGGGCTAGATTTTATTTGAGCGTCGCTATTCTTCTGCAGATCTCCACTGAATAAAATAACATTTCACTGGGTCATTCTGGGGCAGAGAATGTGTCATTCTGGGGCCTGTGAGGTGTGAAAACTGGAAGCATTTGTGGTCGGGGCGAGTGGTCAGTGGTGGTTTCGTGGAAGGCACCTCTAGTATTACCTCTGAGGCTATGGCTGCCACCACAGCAATAGCCTGAGTTGTCACAGCACCTACGAAACTGCTCACCTGCTGAATGCACCCAGTGTGTCAGGTCTGTGCTGCCCAGTGCCACGGCCACTATGACATGTGGCTTCTGAGCATTGAAACGTGGCCAGCACAAATTGAGATGTGCTGGAAGTGCAAAATACACACTCGATTTTGAAGACTCGGGACTCACCAAGAGGACAAAAAGAGAATGTAAACTATCTCCATAATTTTTATATTGATTACACATTGAAATAACATTTGGGATCTGTTGGGTTGAATGCAAGACACTGTTAAAATTAAATTCACCTGTTTCAGTTTACCCTCTTAATGTAGCTACGAGAAAATTTAAAATTACATATGTAGCTGCTGCTATACAGTTTCTTTTGGACAGCTCTGTGTTGGATCCTTCCCGAAGACCCGTATTCAAGGACCAGTATTTATTGACTAAGCTGGAGTTCTCTCCAGGGTTACCCTCAGAAGCTGGGAGATACTAGTTAGAGTATGTTAATATCCTGAAGGGCCCTGAGCCCATTCAGATATGTCTTAAGTTGATTGAAATGGACTCTGAAGTCACTGTTCCCTTTTGGTTTCATAGTTAATGCCTATTTATCACCGTTATTACCCTTAATTTCAGACGGGGGAGGGGGAGACCCAGCCAGCCTTCAGCTATGGCTTCTGTTCGCTGTTTTAAATCCTTGGAAGTGAGATACACACAGAAATTTAAATAGGACTTCTAGTTAACAGAAGTCCTTTTGGCTGTTTATTTTTTCCTCTCCGTTTGTATTTATGTGAAGCATAAAACCCAGAGCCTGATGCACAACTGAAAGATGGGCTTACTTGTTTTCTTTTGTGTGAGAATCTCTTGCTCGCCTTTTGTCGCTAGTGTGGGTTCTTGTTTGACTGGCACGGCTTATTGGACTATAACAAGCGTAACCCTGCCTCCTTTGTCATGGGACAATTCTCCCACAAATCCCGAACAGTGTGCATTCTTCCAACACACTATTGGGTGTGCACTGGAATTGAAAGAATTGCTGAGCCCTGCTACTTCATCTCCTCCCCAATCTCTTTGTGATTTCTCCCCCTTCTTCTCCTCCCCCTACCCCAGTCCCCTCCACCTCGCTGAAATGAACACTTTACCAGGCCGGAAACATTTAATCGTCTCCTTTTGAAAAAATTAATTGAAACTTCTCCACTAGTTACCTTTTGTGTTAGTACTTAATGCAATTTTTTAAGAAAGAGCGGGAGGAGGAGGAGGAGGAGGATGGGCCAGAATATTTAATTTTTAAATGCCCCTATTGGCTTAAAAACAAAAGGCATTAGGGGTGTTCTCACTAAGAACAGGGAATATATTGTAAAGCGTTGACTTGGTTTTAAAGTCCATGATTTTTGTAGTTATAACTGTCATCACAAAGAACGGGGCAAGTCACTTCACAAGTTTTCTTTTTTTCATGAAAAAAAATCCCTACTACATTTTTAACACCAAAACCACTAATACCGTGCTACCACTTTCTAGCATAAATGA